ATGTAAGGAGCAGCGAGCAGGAGGGCAGTAAGGAGCAAGGGGTCCTAGTCCTCCCCTCCCAACCCAGTGCACTAATATTGTGCACCGGGCCTCTAGTATATTTATAACAATACAGAACAAATGGTGTCTGCCTTGTAAAACTAGAAGGAAATTAGGAATATAGAGAAGGTTTTAGGCCAAAATGTTGTATTGTTTTAAAAAAAAAAGGCAAAGCTAATTTGGGGTTGTAGTGTCCTTCTTAAGAGCCTTCCTTGTGGTATCCTTAGATAGCTGTGTGTAGGATTCCCACCAAAAGAATGCCAGACTTAACTCATTCTTGGTTATTTTAGAACAGAGGAGGAGCTGTTATCCTGTGAGTGCTATGCTCCTAGTGCAGTGGTTCTCAACCTATGGGTCGAGACCCCTTTCTCGGTCAAATGACCCTTTCACAGGGGTCGCCTAAGACTATCCTGCATATCAGATATTTACATTATGATTCATAACAGTAGCAACATTACAGTTATGAAGTAGCAATGAAAATAATTTTAGGGTTGGGTCACAACATGAGGAACTGTATTTAAAGGGCCAGAAGGTTGAGAACCACTGTCCTAGTGGATAAGCTTGGCTAATAAAAACTGTTCTCCTTTGGCCAACTTAGGATACCATGTTTTATTTGGCTCTGGGAGAGATTGTGTCATGTCCTGGAAATTTTGAAGCAATTGAATGTAAGGATAGAGATTGGCCCATGGAGGGGAAAGCAAGTCAGATGCATGGAATTTGGGGGATGAAATTAAAATAGGTCCCATACGTGTGTATTATTTTCTTTAAGAACTTTGCTTTCTTTAGGAACATGAAAATAGATTATGTATAATTTAACTTATGCAATAGGTTATTAAATTTGATATATTTAAGAAATCTGCCCTAGCCGGTTTTGCTCAGTGGATAGAGCATCAGCCTGCGGACCGAAGGGTCCCAGGTTCGATTCCAGTCAAGGGCACATGCCTGGGTTGCGGGCTCGGTCCAACATGTGCAGGAGGCAGCCAATCAATGATTCCCTCTCATCATTGATGTTTCTATCTCTCTCTTCCTCTCCTTTCCTCTCTGAAATCAATAAAAATATATTTAAAAAAATGTGAAGACTTGTCTTAGGAAAAAAATTTCAGCTGCTGTACCCAAGATATCCAAAAATCAGACTTATGTAAGTTTATTTCTATCATACATAAAGGACCAGTGGGCAGCTCTGTATTGATTCCACAGTCATCAAGAATCTAGACTTCTATTTAGTTGCTCTGTCATTCTCAAAATTTGATTTTCATCTTGTGGTCTACAAGAGCTACTTCATCTTAAGCTACCATATTCACATTTCTGGCCAGTAGCGGGAGAGAAGAGGAAGGGCGGAGGGGAGAAGCATAACCCAAAGGTTGCACTTATCACTTCTGTTCATGTGCCTATAGCCAGAAATCAGATAACAAACCTACTTGTTCGGGGGCTTGGAGCTATAGTCAGTATTCTATGTGACTGTATCCCTAGCTGAAAATTGGGGCCTCTATGAGAGAGAAAACAGAATGAATATTGAGGTTCAACTGGCAGTTTCTGCTTTACACCAAACATATTTTTCTACTATTAGAAACTTTTTTTTAATGAATACACAGAAAACTTTTTGATTAGTAAGAAGAGTTTTTATATCTCCACATCTTTAGGGGGAATGACTTTCCCAGCTCTGTTGCAGCCACAGCAACTCCATTGCCTGCAGAATGAGGGTGGTAGTCAGAATAAAGAGATTTGGGTAATCCAAAGGGATTGGTTCAACCATGCCAGGATAGCTGGGAGAATTTCTCTTCATTTTAGATTAACTTGCTTTTTAAAAAAATGGTTCTTTCTTTTGTTTCTTCCTTCTTTCCTTCCCTCCTCTCTAAACTTACGTAAAAGTGGAGAGACTATTATAATGAATCCCATGTGCCCATTATCCAATTTCAACAATTATCAGAATTTTTGCTAATCTTCTAGAATATTTTAAAACAGACATCAGATGTTACATACTTTAATTTCTCTCTAACAATCTAGGGTTTAAGATCAAAGTCCTCTGCCCTGGACAAATGCTGATGACATTAACAAATGCTAAAGACATTGACAAATGCTTGTCCTGTGGCTCTTTTGTCTCCATCTGTGGAGTTTCACTAACACTTTCTTTAGTTAGTGAGTGCCATGGTTAGCTTGGCATTTCGTAAACTTATTCTCGTTTATGCCTCGGAATCTTATGAGGTAAATATTATAGATGAGGTGTCTAAAGCTAAACCTCAAAGAGGTTAAATAACTTACCCAGCTACTAACTGAGGAAACAAAACTGGGGAAACAGGTGTGACTGTTTAGAAAAACCTGTCCTCTATATCAGTGGTTCTCAACCTTGGCTGCACATTAGAATCACCTGGGAATCTTTTTTAAAATCCTGATTTCTGGGCCTCATCTTCTGGAAATTCTGTTTCTTTGTTACTAATGTTGTGGCCTCACCCCATAACAAAGAAACAGAATTTCCGGAGGATGAGGAAATTCCTTGACCGGAATAGAACCCGGGATCCTTCAGTCTGAGGGCCAACGCTCTATCCACTGAGCCAGACCGGCTAGGGTGGGACCATTTTCTTTACATCAGTCATATTGTCCAAGCACATGACAAGTGCATTTCTCTATATTTACATTCTTTGAAAAGAAACCATGTATGATTTAGTAATTATTTAACTTAAAAATCCCATTCATCAGTTGTGTTTGGTTTATCATTTTGTCCCACCTCTTAAGTAATACTATTTTTATATATATTTTATTGATTTTTCACAGAGAGGAAGGGAGAGGGATAGAGAGTTAGAAACATCAATGGGAGAGAAACATCGATCAACTGCCTCCTGCACACCCCCCACTGGGGATGTGCCCGCAACCAAAGTACATGCCTTTGACCAGAATGGAACCCGGGACCCTTGAGTCCGCAGGCCGGCACTCTATCCATTGAGCCAAACCAGTCAGGGCTTAAGTAATACCCTTATTTTTTAATTTAGAAATATTCTAAGAATCTTTAGAATTCTTTAAAATAGAGAATATAATATAGTCATTACTCACATATCCTCCACCCTAAATTAACATGTTCATATTTAATTTAAATCATTTTTTCTCCAAATAAAACATGATTGATAAAGGTGAAGTCCACTTTCTTCTTTCCAAAAGCAACACTATCATGAATTTGAATGTGTAGTTTCTCAGTCCATACTTTTATTATGTAAAAACACATAGCTATAAATAACATGTAATGTTTGTGTGTTTGAAGATTTACATAAAAGATACAGTTGATCCTTGAACAAATAGGTTTCAACCGCACAGGTCCACGTATTCACACATTTTTTTCAAGAAATACCTGTACTGTTTGATCTGTGGTTGGGAGTCCACAGATGCAGAGGGCTGACTGTATCCTTTGAGCTACACTATTTTATATGGGGGACTTGAGCATCCATGGATTTTGGTATCTGCAGGGGTTCCTGAAACTAGCCCCTATAGATACTGAGGAATACCTGATACAGTTAAGTTTTGGTGGAGACAAAAGTTATACTTGGACTTTTTTTACTGTGGGGGTAATGGTATCCCAGATGCCTATGTTCAGGGGCCAACTATACTCTTAAAAGTAAAATTGCTACAACATGTTTTATGTGAATTCTCAGTTTTATTAGATATGCCAGTACCTCTCTGAGTGGCTGTACAGATATACTTAAATAAGCAGTGAACAAAAGCTCCTGTTTCTTCATATCCTCCAGCCAATTCTTTTTTTAAAAAATATATTTTATTGATTTGTTACAGAGAGGAAGGGGGAGGGATAGAGAGTTAGAAACATCGATGAGAGAGAAACATCGATCAGCTGCCTCCTGCACACCCCCCACTGGGGATGTGCCCACAACCAAGGTACATGCCCATGATCAGAATCGAACCCGTGACCCCTCAGTCTGCAGGCCAACGCTCTATCCACTGAGCCAAACCAGTCAGGGCCTCCAGTCAATTCTTGGTGTTATCAGACTTTTAAAATTTTCCCCTCCAATCTGATGGGTAAAAGTACTTTCTATTTTCTTTTTTGCCTTTTGAAGGCAGATCTTTTGCCATTCTTGTAAAAATGTTTTCATCTAGATTCTGGTGAGAAGGTCTTTTTATGAAATAAATTGTGTCTTCTAATTGAGCATCCTATTATTTTGTCTTAAAAGAGCTCTGAAGTATTTTCTCACTTGGAAAGAGTTCACTCTATAGTATTTCCAGAACTAGATATTTCTAATGTTCATAATTTGGGTACTGGGGTCTTTTTTTAAAAAGTCATTTAAATATTCTTTTTGTTTACACTTTTCCATTTTTAACCAAATGTCTATGTTTAGGAAAGATTAGAAGTATATAGAAAGAGATGGCTTCTTAAAAATCAGTTGAAAGAAAAAAAATCATTTGGAAGAGGTGACATCATTGTTAGGAAGGAGTTCTAGAGATAAAGAAATAATAGTTTCAGATAGAGGTAATATAGAAGGGCTTACGGAAGAGGTGATGTTTGCCCTAGCCAGTTTGGTTCAGTGGATAAAGCACTGACCTGCAGACTGAAGGATCCAGGTTCAATTCTGGTCAAGGGCACATACCGGGTAGCAGGCTCGATCCCTAGTAGGGAGCATGGAGGAGACAACTGATCAGTAATTCTCTCTCATTATTGATGTTTCTATCTCTCTCTCTCCCCCTCTCCCTTCCTCTCTGAAGTCAATAAAAATATATATTTTTAAAAATATATATATAGGGTTATTTAAAAAAATGAAGAGGTGATAGTTACATTTTCATAGTGGAGTTTATAGTTCATATATCAGAATGTTTATTGCAGTTTTTCATAATGTAAAGTTTAGAATTACCTAAATATCCGTGCAGTTATGAAATGTTTACATACATTATGGTATATCAATTCTATTATATTATTACTTGGTTATCTAAAAATGTATTTAAAAAACAATAACTGCTAAAGGCTTGTGATATGATGAAGAATTAAAAATTATGTGTGATCCTAATCTGAATTAAAATAAATATTAAAAAGAATTAGAAGTAAATTCACATTTTATTTATTTAACTTTTGTTTTTCTCTGAAAAATCACAAGTCAGGTAGGGCCAGTGTAATTTGTTGAAGCTTACTGCTGTTTATTACGGGAAATTCTAACCAATGATTCAGTGGCAACAATTTTTTTAAAGGGCCATGGTTCTTTGACATAATTAGTAGTATGTAGAAGTAAATTAAGACCAATCTAGAATAATCTTTGTGGAATAATGTACATGAAAAATGCTAATAAACCGTGTTTTAGGCTTACAAAATAACTGAATATTTTGCAGTTTACAATGCTTCCAGATATTTTAAATAAAGATGGAAAATTTAAAAAAAAAAAGAAGTAAATTCACTAAAAATATTGAGAGGGTTTTTTTCTGAATGAATGAGTAGGATTTTTTCTTACACTTCTGTATTTTCTATGAAAACATATATTTGTATAATTAAAACAACTAATAGTAGCAGGGGTTAAGAGAAAAATTATAACCTCTTATTGTAATAATTTCCAAATTGTAAGAAATATTGCTGTTCGCATCTATCATAGGTTGCCTTGCTACATTGGATTAGACCCCAAGCACTGTATGTAGAACAGTGCTTTGTTCTTTGCTAGTACACAGTGACTCTTCTGTTCTAAGTGCTCTCGAAGGACTTTGAGAAGAAGCACTGCTGGACTTTCCTCTGTTTTGAACAGGTTGTTGGGGTGCCAGTTGGGTCTACTTTACCTTCAACAGTGAAACAGGCTGTGGCAATCAGTGGTGGCCAAATCCTCGTAGCCAAGGCCAGCTCTACCGTTGCCAAAGCAGTTGGTCCAAAGCAAGTTGTGACCCAAGGAGTTGCCAAAGCAATTGTGAGTGGAGGTGGAGGAACCATTGTCGCTCAGCCAGTGCAAACCTTAACCAAGGCCCAGGTCACTGCTGCTGGCCCTCAGAAGAGTGGATCCCAGGGTTCAGGTAACTAATACTGTTTGTGGGTACTCAGCAGCAGTGCCTACCAAAATGTTCTTTGCTAGTGATTTTATTTGGTATTTGGTTCTGTCTAGAAAACCTAGTAAGGTGTGTGTGTGTGTGTGTGTGTGTGTGCGCGCGCGCGTGTGTGTGTGTGTGTGTGTGTGTAAGCAGTAATAATAAAAATACAGCTTGTTTCTTATGATACTGCTTTTAGGTTTGAAGAATAATTCTCATTTGTCCTCATTTCCACTTTGGGTTGTATTTCATACTTAAAACTTTGTTCAGTCATTGCAGCATTTTGAGATATGAAACATTTGAATGTGTCCTAGGCTTTGATATGTTGTTTCAGTGAAGGCATTATATTTAAGAACATTTGCCTTTAAAGCATTGTGTATCTGAGAAACAAACTTTAGAGTTTACTTTTTGTTACCTCTTTTTAATAAGTATTTTATTCTGTGTTTTAATTTTAGAGTTGGTATTGCCCTAAGTTCCATTTTATCTTATTGTCTTTCTTCTCTTTTTCTTCTTTATCATTTTAGTAATGGCAACGTTGCAGCTACCAGCCACTAACTTGGCCAACTTGGCAAATTTGCCACCTGGCACTAAACTTTACCTTACAACAAACAGCAAGAACCCTTCAGGAAAAGGAAAACTGCTGCTCATCCCTCAAGGAGCCATCCTGCGAGCCACCAACAGTGCTAGTTAGTCCATCATTAACTCGTTTGGTTCTTGGGTCTCTGGGTATGTTCATCTCATCCACCTGAGGCTCAGTTTTTACCTGTTTCAGGAAGCATTTCCATAGCTTTGGTGGCATAATGGTAGTATTTGCCCAAATGCACTTAAAACATGTGCATAATTTAACAAGAATTGGCTTTAAGTAATCATAGTCTTACAAGGTGGCACTATTATTTTGGGCTTATCTACTCAGAGTTTGGGATCAGGGCCGGATTACACTGAAGAGGTATGGCTCTTGAGGCTGTGCTGGGAGAAAGCTGTCTGTGTGAACTGTAAATGAAGAAAGGTCTTCCTTTCAGAGGTAACTGACAACAGGTGATACCTGGGAAGAAGTTCTATACTTCCAGTAGCTGGAACCTATTTCTATTTTAAAGGAGACAGGAATAGGACTTGGATCAAGAGTCTCCACTTGCCATTGTTCAGATATGCTGCTTAAGTGTGCTAGGTTTGGAGGTGGAAAGAGAAATACTGGTTCAGCCTAAATATATGTCTTAAAGCCCCAAGGAATTAAGTGGTGTATCAGACTTACATAAACTGCTTTGACATACAGAGAAAAACAATTTGAGTAGTGTTGTAAAGGGAAAGGTCAAAGGGAATACTTCCCTCTGAATCAGAAATACAATTAGTACAGCATTCAAGTTCATTAGAAATTAGCCACTCCTGTCAAAATGCAGTGTGTGTAAGCTAATCACCGTTTTGTTTATTGTGTCTAATGGGTGATTTCCAGTCTCTTAACCTGGTATTTTTTTCTTCATACCCAATTTTTTTCTTTATTCCAGAATTCATCAGTTACTTAGATGTTAGTTAATGTACAGTATGTTACCCAAAGGGAAGTAAAAAGGGTCCATAGGCTTTAAAGTGGAATTTGAAGAGCTAAAAAGAATGGGACCCTGCCCTAGCCAGTTTGGCTTAGTGGATAGAGCATCAGCCTGGGAACGTAAATGTCCCAGGTTCAATTCCAGTCAAGAGCCTGTACTTGCCCAGGTTGCGGGCTCCATCCCCAGTAGTAGATGTGCAGGAGGCAGCTGATCGATGTTTCTCTCTCATCGATGTTTCTAACTATCTCCCTTCCTCTCTGTAAAAAATCAATTAAAAAAAAAAGTTCCAGCTAACATTTAAAAAAAAAAAAGAATGGGACCCTGAAGTCATCATAAATATGAAGAAAGTCTTACCGAAACTGGTTTGACTCAGTGGATAGAGCGTCGGCCTGTGGACTGAAAGGTCCCAGGTTCAATTCCGGTCAAGGGCATGTACTTGGGTTGCGGGCACATCCCCAGTAGTAGATGTGCAGGAGGCAGCTGATCGATGTTTCTCTCTCATCGATGTTTCTAACTATCTCCCTTCCTCTCTGTAAAAAATCAATTAAAAAAAAAAGTTCCAGCTAACATTTAAAAAAAAAAAAGTCTTTATTTTTTCCAGGGGGATAGAAAGAGTACTGTAAAATCACACTAAATTCTAGCAGTTCCACTGAAATTGAATCAGATGCCAAAAAGTTTGGAAGCATGTCAGTGAGTACATTGAAGTGTTGATTAAAATCAATCAGTGGTTGAGCATCAACCCATGAACCAGGAGGTCACAGTTAGATTTCTAATCCGGGTATATGCTCAGGTTGCTGGCTCAATCCCCTGTAGGGGGCGTGCAGGAGGCAGCCAATTGATGATTCTCATTGTTGATGTTTCTTTCTCCCCCTTTCTCTCTGAAATCAGTAATATATTTTTTAAAAATAGTTGGTTAGAAAATGTCAGTATCAGACTTTCTCATGTTCTTCCACAACTAAGTCAAAACAGTTGTCAAAGGTAAGTTCTTCATTGTACTCAGAGCTGTACTAGTCAAATGTCATGCAGTTGAAAGTAAATAGATGTCACTCTTCAATTCTAGGAAGTTCTCACTCTTGTCAGAGAAAGAAGAAGAAAAATAGGGAAGGGAGGAAATGGTGCTGTAAAGGAAATATCTCTGGGCTCACCTGTTTTTCTGTTAAGCTTCTTGATACTTTTTGTAATGTTGCTGTCATTGATTGTATTTGCAGACCTACAGTCCAGTTCAGCTGCCAGTAGTGCTGGTGGTGCTGGAGGCAGCGGCAGTGGAGGTGGCAGCAGTGGCAGTGGAGGAGGGGGAGGAACAGGAGGAGCCCAAAGCCCCGCTGGGCCTGGAGGGATATCCCAGCACCTGACCTACACATCTTACATCCTCAAGCAAACGCCTCAGGTCTGCTCATTATGACTGGTATCTTTTAAATCATTCTGTTATTTAATAACTGCTTTTAGCTATACTGGATTTTCCAATACAGCTCTGGGATCAGGAGTCAAAAACTGACATTTTAGCTGTGTTGTAAATCTATATTATCCTATATAATAATAGGCTGATATGTAAATTGTCCCCTCAGGAGTTCCACTGACCAGGAGTTCGATTGCTCACTATGACGTGTGCTGACCACCAGGGGGCAGCGCAGAACGAAGGACGGCCCCAGCCAGTAGCTGGCAGTTGAAGGAAGGCAGGCCCCAATTGGCCGTGATTGCCGACCAGGCCTAGGGACCCTACCTATGCACGAATTTCATACACCATGCCCTTAGTTTGTTATAAATGTTACAAATCTATATTTTGTTTTGAGAGAAGAAGGAGTAGAGATTCAGGAAGACTTAAGTAACTTACTCAGGGCTTCTCTGCTAAGCCAGTGCAGGCTTTGGATTTAAACCCAGATCTTTCTGACACAAAGAAAGATTTTCACTCTGCTAATGCTTCCCAAATCCATGAGGTAATAAACAGTCTTAATGTGCAGTTCAAAATGTTCTCTCAGAAAGGAGTAACCAAAGAGATGCTATCAGACTGTAGTATTTGGAGTTAGGTTGGATTCAAGATGAGGACCGGGTTTCTGCCTTCTTCCCCTTGTCACAAAGTCTTGGCTCTCCTCTAAGGAAAGTAGTGGAATTTTAATTCCAGACATTTTTTTGAGAGGGATGGGTAGTAATCATTCTGAATTATTAAATCCAGCTTTCAGGACTAGATTACATGAGTTTCCCACACCTGCTCTGTAACTACTGTGCACAGTTTGAGACTTAGGATAACTGTTGGTAGCGACACTGAGCACTGTTCTTTTCAGTTATTTTGGCTGAGTTGCAGAATAAAGGAGCATTGTAGCTTGTAACATGGAACCTTGTGATTTAAAGGATCAGAGGAAGTTATTTGAATTTAACAAGTTACTGATTCGGTCTTTATTTTTTCTAACTTAGGGCACATTTTTAGTTGGCCAGCCATCACCTCAGACATCTGGAAAACAGCTGACTACTGGGTCAGTGGTCCAAGGTACACTGGGAGTCAGCACATCTTCCGCTCAAGGACAACAAACATTGAAAGTCATCTCTGGACAAAAAACCACTTTGTTTACCCAGGTAAATACACACACACACACACACACACACACACACACAAATACATGGTGATTGTGGCATTTATTTACAAATTTACACCTTACTCTTTGCACAAAGAAATTAAGGTTACATGAGAAAATGAACAATAAAGTAGTATAGAAAAAATAATAAAGCTGAAACTGGTTTGGCTCAGTGGATGGAGCGTCGGCCTGCGGACTGAAGGGTCCCAGGTTCAATTCCGGTCAAGGGCATGTACCTGGGTTGTGGGCACATCCCCAGTGGGAGATGTGCAGGAGGCAGCTGATCAATGTTTCTCTCTCATCGATGTTTCTAACTATCTCCCTTCCTCTCTGTAACAAATCAATAAAATATATTTAAAAATAAAAATAAAAAAAATAATAAAATCTTGAGATTTGGGAAAACATATGTAGAATGAGAAGATAAAGCTTGAGTTATTTAGAACTACAAATAGTAATGTCCTATACAGTTAATAAAATTTGCCAAACCAGAGCAAGAAGCATTATCAGTCATAAAGATTACACTATTTGTGAGAGAGAAAAACTAACCACATAATATTTCCTAGAAGAAACAAACATTTTCTTGACATTTCATTCTAATATTTCTCTGGAGGGACTTCATGCAGGAGATGCTAAATACTGAGAGATGATTTCAGCCACACTGTCCACACAAGAAGTGAACACTGCAGGGAGTTTAGTGCATGTTTCCACGGCACTTTTTAATATAAGCCAAAAACATCATCATTCTTTTTAATTTTAGTCATTTTTGTGACTATGAAATGATACTCAGGGTGTAAGACTCTAATTCACATTGTGCTGTGGCTGCTGCTCCTGGATTCTAATCATGGCTCCAGCTTCAGTTATTAGCTGTGTGACCCCTGGTAGTCATTGAGATGATCTCTCATCTTTAAAGTGGGACTAAAATCTACCCTATAAAGTTTATGAAAAGATTAAATGATATAAGATAAGTAAATGACATATGTAATGACATAGTATGCCCACAGAGACTGAAAAATGGTATGATTTGTAGGATGCATTAATCTGGAGCACAAAGCAATCATTTAGACCAGGGGTCAGCAGATTACACCCAAAGCTTCCTATTTTTATGAATAACATTTTATTCGGACATAGCCACACCCATTTAATGCTATAGAAGTAAAGTTGAGGAGTTGCAACAGAGATCTTATGGCCTGACATGCTCACTCATGCTGTTGCTGAGCCTTGTTTTAAACTGTTAAAAGTATAAGTTGTTGAATGATTCTCCAGGACTAAATGCTAATCCTGTACTAGCCTAAAGAACCATTAATTTACCCATTTAAATCTGGCCCTCTCAGTTCAATTTTCATGTTTAAAGATTATATTTAAGAGCACTTTGGACTCAATTATTTTAATAACAAATGGCCTGGTATCTCTGAAGACACTGCTGCCAAATAGTAGCTTGCAATTGCATTCATTTTCTTGTTCTATATTAGGGGTAAAGGAACGTTTGTAGGTACAAGGTCATAAACTTGAGAATTTGCACAAACACTTCCTATAGTTGTCATCAGCAAGAGTTTCTTGGACATGCTCTAATTCTGCAGGCATCTGTAAGCAAGGAATGAATTGTGCCTGTTAACGAGGGCAATATTATTACTTCAACCCATTTTGTTTTTGTAGGCAGCCCCTGGGGGACAGGCCTCTCTAATGAAAATATCTGATGGTACATTGAAGTCTGTGCCAGCCACCTCACAACTCTCAAAGCCTGGAACCACCATGCTGAGAGTAGCAGGAGGGGTTATCACAACTGCCACTTCGCCAGCTGTGGCCCTCTCAGCAAATGGTCCTGCACAACAGGTGAGAATTAGCATGAACATACAAAATCATAATGAAACAAAAAAGCACTAAAAACCCAAGATACTCAGCAGGCACACAAGTGGGCCATATTACTCTTTTTAAAAATGGAAATGTAATTTACATGTCCTAAAATTCACCATTTTTAAGTGTACAATTTAGTGATTTAGATTATGTCCCCAAGGTTGTGCAACAATTGCCATCTAATTCTACGAACATTTTTTTCCATCCTGAAAAATAATGCTCTGTACCCAGGAGCAATCGACAGACATTTGTGTTGTGTCTACCTTTTGACTACAATGTATAATGCTGCCATAAACGTTTTGTACATGTTTTTGTATAATATATTTTCATTTCTCTTGGCTGTATACCTAGGAAAGGAATTGCTAGATCATCTAGTAACTATGTTTAAGTTTTTAAGGAACTGCCAAACTTTTCCAAGCGGCTGCACCATTTTAGATTTCATCAGCAATGTATGAAGATTCCAGTTTTTCCACATCCTTGCTGACACTTGTTCATACTCATTTTTTAAAATTATAGCCAGTCTAGTGGGTGTGAACTCGTAATTCATTGTGGTTTTAATTTGCATCTCCCTGTAGCTAATGATATTGAGGGGTTTTTGTGGGTTTTTTGTGTTGTTGTTTTTTTTAAGATTTGTGTACCTTTAGAGAAATGTCTATTCAGACATTTGCCCATTATTTAATTGAGTTATTTATTATCTTTTCCTTATTGATTTAGATATACAATGTGGCAGATCGATAAAATTGAATATGATTCAGCTATCAATAGGAATGAAATCTTTTATAAATGTGGTCACCCTGTGATACCGCCTCATTTAAAAAATTTCCTGGCCCATGAAATCTAGAAATGTAGGAACCACCAAACTAGAGAAGCAGTCTTTCTAAATGGCATTACATTTAATAAGTAGGCAATAATAGCTAGTAGATAATATTTATTGAGTATGCTGCATGGCCGTCACTGTCCTCCATAAGTTACTGCTTTCTTTTATATTTCTGTTATACCTGGCCCTGCGGATGAGCAGTCAGAAGGAACAGCTCCCAGTTCATCATCCACTGTAGGTTCCATAATGAAAACTGCTGGGCAGCAGCAGGTGTGTGTGAGCCAGGCCACCATGGGAACCTGCAAGGCTGCTGCTCCCTCTGTCATCAGTGCCGCGTCCCTGGTGTCCACACCTAACCCCATCTCCGGGAAGGCTACAGTGTCAGGTCAGTTGTATCATAATGATACTATTTCTCCCTTCCTTCTTTGGCTATAATATTTTTGGAAGGTCTTAAACAATATTTTTATAATTTAATCCTCTCCCAAGGATATTTTTTTATTGATTTTAGTGAGAGGTGGGGGAGAGAGAGAGAAACATGGATTGGTTGTCTCCTGAACATACCTCAGCCGGGGACAAACCTGCAAACTGGGTGTTTGCCCTCACTGGGAATTAAACCAGCAACCTTTCAGTGCACTGGACAACGCTCAACCATCTGAGCTGCACTGATTTTTTTATTGTATTTATTCACTAGAGGCCCGATGCACAAAATTCATGCAAGAGTAGGCCTTCCTTCCGCCAGCTGCCAGCACCAGCTTCCCTCTGGCACCCGGGACC